GGAATATGGAAATATACACTGCTGTTTTTTTTTTCTTTTGTGTGTGTGTGTGTGTGTGTGAGACACACACACACACACACACACACACACACACACACACACACACACACACACACAGGGAGAGAGAGAGAGAGAGAGAACATGTAACTCTTCAACCTCGCGGCTGGCCTCATGGCTCATGCTACTTCCATTAATTGAATGTGCAAAATCGGATGAATCTTCCGCGAGAACATGAAAATATGCACACTTACTGGTTGAATCTAACTGACACCCGAATGACAACACTTTTTGCAATTGACGACGCGGCGCGAAACAAACTCGCAGCGAAAAGGGACCCTGTTCATAAAGTCGCGCTAACACCAACTGTACCAAGCGCCCCCCAATAAAAAACATACGAACGCGTGGGCCTGCCTGCCCTCYGAAAAAAAACCGTACGAAACGGGGAACTACTTTTGTCCCATCCAACCGACATGCGGGCCTCATTTTCCCTGGGCCCAGGGGAAGTGTCTTATGGGGCCCTATCCTTCCGTTAGTAGTTATATAGACAACCCCTTTTCCACTTGAGTAAATCCAAATTTGGAACTGATTTGCAACAGACTGATTAACCTTTAGCATAACAACCTTTTGTTTTTTTTTGTTTTTTTTTTTTTAACAATGGGCCCAGTGCCCAAGGCTTGTATTACTCATAATAGAATTCGAGGCAAGGGTCCTCACAGTCTACCCGAAAGAATAGAGTAGACGAGAYACGCTAGCGGCCTCAAYCAGCTTATGTTATGAGATTTTCAGAAAAAATCRGTGTGCTGAAAACCGGGTCCAGTGTCCCGTGATAGTATTAAAGGATGAGCACAGATAACCGAGAAGCCACAATTGTCTCTTCAGTCCCTTAGGAACCGCCAGGTATAACATTTTTTCACTAGCTACCATTGCCTCTCATAAGATTGTCCTGAAATTGTCAATTCCCTTCYAAGCCAAAACATTGCATCTCCACAAGGGCGAGCTAAGAAGGGGGAAAAAGATCTGCAAAAAAGATTGGAGCTCTTAGAGTAGCTCCTGAGTGAGGTGTAAACCAGTCCTTCAAGATGAGTTRGAAGTCCCAACAAATGGTTAACAGGTAYYCCCAAGTAAAGTTTTGAATTGCCTTTTGGATATCTTTCTTTTGTTGACAATTACGTAATTTGGATGTGAYGGTCGCCCATTGGGCTCTRATCTTTCTTTGTACAAATTGGACAATTTGTTCAACCATCACGGATTCTTCCAGATTTATATCTTCTCATACTAAAACACACATTTTATACCATAATGTCCATAAAACCRTTTTTTTACCTATTTMAAAAAAAATGAGTTGGAAATTGGAAAGCCCTGGGTCATGTGGGGCCCAGTGCCCTAAGAGGATTGCCCTCCAATCCCAAGGTCAGTCCATTAGTTCCCGCCATATGCAATCCCACATGCGTCATGTTAATATTGAACTGGGGCATTGCATAAAAACGTGCTCAATGGTTTTTCTACATTTCCTYCCTCGGAAGGCAAACAGACAAGATCTGCACCATGGAGTGGCTAACCCTTTCTGTTCCAARGAAGAGTGACCAATAATCCACTTATTTGYGGGGAGATAGAGATGTACAATTTGTCACTRCAACAAAGAAAATTTAGATGGTTTTTGTCTTATATTTTTAAAAAACTTTATGTCCTTAAGTAAATTTATGTCTAAATTTTRGTGCCCAGACCATCTCTCTTGCAAAATCGCCTMAGGGTCCACCTTTGGTCGTAGCAATTTGTATGTCACTTTCACAGTGACTGACTGTAGGGTCCTTGGTCTGCCCCACTTGCTAGTTTGYCARACCCATTCTGCCGGGTCTATTGGAAGTTCCGGAATAGGAAGCTATGGATGACTGACTCTTCATCCCTTTGTAGCGAAGATGAAAAGGACTCTAACCCGATAGAGGTATGAAGGAGGGGGGGAAAAAAATGGATCCGGAGGAGACTGAATCAGAAAATGATATCTGTCCGTTTTGAAAATATTTATTAGAGGGCCCTGTGGGAGGTTGTGCACATCTTGACCTACCACCCCTCGACCATCTGGCTGAAACCGAACCACCCAAAAACGACCATTTCGTCAAAATTGACATTTTTTATTT